GCACCTACCAAGCCTGAAGGGGGAAGGCCGACCCCTTGCGTGCCACTCACATTTCTATTCCTCCCACGCCCGGAGGGGGGCCCACCTTATCCCCCTGGGAGGCGTCTCACTCACTCAGGCTTCTCCTGCTTCCCTCCGTTTCTGGCCGGTCCCCTCGCAGGAGTCCGGAACCACGGTACTCGGAGGCCCACAGCTGCTTCGGGGCTCCGAGCTGCTGGGCCCCGTCTCACACACACTTCTTTCGCTTGCCTCATACTCCTGACACCGCCTTTACTTACCCATGCTCCTCCACACTCTTTGCTCCTAGGCTGCTGCCGACCGCTCCAGATAGGGCCAGATATCCTGCAGGCCCTCAGTCCTCTTCGGGTGTGGCCTGTCCCGGACCAGTCCCCCAGACTGTTATGAATGGCACGTGAGCAGCTCTTTAGTGATTTCAGCTTTACTGGAAACAGTCTAGGCAGGGGACCCATGGGGTGTGCGCACACCACCGCTCCTCCCCAGACGGCGTGGAGGAGGAGGAGGTCAGCTCCGTCCTCCAGCAGAGCTGGGTCTTCTTTCCTCACAAGAGTCTCTCAGTAGACGCCTGTTGGTTTCAGTTTCATAATCTTTATACTGCTCTTGGCCCGCTCTGGTTAGGGTGACGAAGGCAAAAAGTTCTGACCAGGGTCTTTGATATTGTCTTATATTCCCTCTGTTTAGAAGTGTTATTTTGATTCTTTATTTGCATGGAGGTTCGTTGTTCTAGGGGTTTTTGTTATGTAATCCTTTTCTGCTAAGTCTTATGGGAGTTTCATATTTGCTGATTAGGTGACGTAATCATCTTCTTTATGGTCTCGGGTGGTTTGCCATTTTAGATGAGAGTGGGAGCAGCGGGGGTAATGTTAGCGTTCAGAAACACATAATCACATAAGCGATTATATGAAGGTGCTTTCATTAAGAGCTCTGGGTGTCAGGAGTATTCAACTCAAATCTGACTCCGACCATACTTTCGAGATGATCGTGTTTTTATACTCTATCGTTATATAACTTTCATGGTAATTATTAAACTTATATTGTTCTATTAAATACAAAGTGCTGGGTTTTGACCTAACAGCCCCAACCGTCAGCCAGTCCCTCCTTCAGTCCTTCACAAATTGCTGCAGCAGCCTACTGTTTAGCAAACTATACAGTGAACAGATCTTTCTGGCCAGAAGAACACCTTAACATTGTGACACTGGGCTACCTGAGCACTTGAGGAAGGTCCACAGGTCATAATTAAAAATGAACTAGGGGAATGGGAACAGGGTTGGAGACTGGTACTCACAGGGCAAGGGTACGCAGCCGTCAAGAAAAATAGTAAAATCAAATGGTGCCCGCTTAAGTCAATAAAACCATACCTTCAGGGCAAAAACTAATGAAATTTGTAAAGTTTGTTTTGCAGGACTGAATCCTCAGACACCCCCGCGACCCGTATACCCTGCTTCCTAAAGGCTGCGACGAATCATCAAGCAGATGGCAGATGGCAGACCATCCCGGGGTCGTGAAAGAACTCAGTGACCAAACTAAGGGAGCGGCCGGCACAGAGAAGGACGGGGGGGAAAAACAGCTCAGCAAAAATATTAAGAGTTATTCATCAAGTAGAGTTCGAGCTCTGGCCAGGTTCAGGCTCTACTTGAATGGAATGCCAAGTAACCCAGAGTTCTTCCCTGTGTCAAAGGATCAAAGGGCGATTTGGAGGGAACATAAGTCCGGACATGGACTCACCAAATCCTCTCTAGTTTAAGATCAAACAGGTCGCAGACTCTGAGAAAATAATTCGGTCCTAGGAGGTCAACTAAAAAAAAAACAAAAAAAAAACCCCAACAACAACAAAAAAACCAACCAACCAACCAAACAAACAAAAAAAAAAAAACTGAGGAGGTCCTACAAAGAAATTCAAAGACAGGGTTCAGTCAGCCCCATGACTGGTCGCCTTACATTTTAAACAAGTTTGTGTTTTTTTTTTTTTAGAAAAAACCAGTTAGAGATAGTTAGCTTTTCGTTTGTTAAACATTTGCAGTTACAAGTTTATTGCAGTTGTGTTATGTTGTTCAAGTTAATTGCATTTTGCCAGTTACACGTTTCCTACTTGTCAGTTTTGCTTTGTTTTTAACTGGTCATAAAAGGGGCGGGAAATGTGGGGAAATATCGCGAGGTCTCGAGATATCGCGAGGTCACGCAGAACCCCTCCCCTTTTACTGTTACTGACCGTTACCCCCTGTTATAAAAGACCCTGACCAACCGTTAATAGAGGCCAGTTACTGTCCCCCACATTGGTGTATGCGTGTGCTTGGCCCGTGTGGCAGAGGCGCCGCCACTGAACCGTCCTCGACCCGGGACACCACACCCCAAGTGGCAGCAGCAAGTGCCGCGCTGGCCGCTCAGGCACCAGGAACCAGCAGCCAAGGGCACTGCCAGGGCCAAAGGCCAGGTCAGCCAGACAGAAAGGGGCAGGGCTGGGCACTGTTTCCATGGCAACCGGCACTGGGGGGGACACCTGGGGCACCTGGCCTGGCAGTTGCCATGGAAAGCCCTGGCAGGCACTGAGGGCACAGCCCCTGGCACTGAGACACTGCTGGGCCGGGTGCTGAGCACAGGGCTGAGCACGCAGAGATGGTTTTATTCTTGCTGAGCTGCAGCACAGCCAAGGCCTGTCCTGCCCCTCGTCCAGCCACGCTGGGGAGGGGCTGGGGCTGCGGGGGAGCTTGGCAGGGGACACAGCCAGGACAGGTGACCCCAACTGAGCCTGGGCACAGCCCAGACCAGAGCACATCATGCTCAGGGTATGAAGGGGGGAACAAGGAGGAAGGGGGAATTTTGGAGGGAGGCTTTTTGCCTTCCCAGGTAACACTTAGGCAAGAGGGGGCCCTGTTTCACCAGTGGGCAGGGTCACTACCAAAGACACAGACACCAACTGAAGGAATTGTGGCATTTATATCATGCACAGCTGCAAAGCATGACAAAAGGATAAGCTCAGCAAAGCACATCATCATTAGCAAAGAATTACAAAAGAAGCTCAGCAATCCATCAGAACTCAGGAACATGGCCCACTCGCCAGCTTTGGCCCACTCAGGCACTTCTAGAGGAGGAAAAAAGTGCAACTGCACAATTCCAGCCAATCAAGAAGGAGGAATGGGACAGACAAACACCCTGTGCAGATCCAGGCGTTCAGCTGGGACTGTGGAGAGTTTGGGTTCTTGCCAATTGGATGTGTGTCCCCAGCTGCAATCTCTGGGCCTGCAGCAGAGTCTCACTCAGCTGCCAAAGCAGAAAGCTCAGGCGCTGTGCTCGCAACGGGCTCATCTGATGCAAAGCTGTCAGAGCAATGTGAGGGCAGAGCCAGCCCAGCTGGGCCCAGGGCTGAGCCCAGCAGAGCCCTGGCAGAGCCCAGAGCAGCCTCAGCAGCCGCAGAGCCCGGCTGCAAGGAGAGAAAGCAGAAAGTGCCCGTCAGCTGAGGGCTCCTGTCCCCTTGTGCCAAGGCCTGCGGTGCCCAGGCCGTGCTGGCTGTGCCCAGAGCTGTGCCCAGAGCTGCCCATCCCTGCTGCCTTTGGCACAGAGCAGGAGGGCAGGACATGTGCCCAGCCTGCAGCCAGCCAGGGTACATCCAGCCCTCAGCAGCTGCCCAGAGCAGGATGCTCCTGTGCTCGCTGCCATCTCCCAAAAGCTCTGATCCCACCCTGCCAAGCACACAGGGACCCACCTCACGCCAGCCACGGCTGCAAGAAAAGCTGCTCCCAAACCATGGCCTCAGCCTTCTCCAAGGGCACGGCCCATCCACGCCACAGCTGCTCCCAAGCACTTCCCCATCCACACTGGACCACCTAGAACACTTCCTCTGGAAAAACAAACAACACATTCCTGAAAAGAGATTAGAGACAAAAAGGGAAAACAAGAAAAATGGGAAAAACTCTTATCTCTGTCAGGGCCTTGAGGAAGGCCCAACTCCTACATGGTAGGGAAAAACCCACCCACGGGTGAGGGAAGCCCACACTTTCTCCCTTCCACCCTTCACTGCCCCCCAAAATCATGGTGATCCCAAAGATAACAAGGGCAGTGCAGCAGCCCAGCCCTTCCTTGCCTGCAGAGCAAAGCAGCCCCTGCACAGCTTCTGGAGTCCCACCTCTGCTCCCAGCATGGGGCTTTGTTTGTGTCGGGCTGGCTGCCCCAGCCCCAGCCCCAGCCCAGGCCACGGTGGCTGCTGGTCATAAAAGGGGCGGGAAATGTGGGGAAATATCGCGAGGTCTCGAGATATCGCGAGGTCACGCAGAACCCCTCCCCTTTTACTGTTACTGACCGTTACCCCCTGTTATAAAAGACCCTGACCAACCGTTAATAGAGGCCAGTTACTGTCCCCCACATTTCATTTCCATTTCATATCCAGCCCAGCCCATGCCCCAGCCCTGCCAAAAGCAGCTGGGCAGCGACTGAAGGATGAGTTGCATCTGCCCCAGCAAAGGGGGAACCTTTGCTTCCCAGCCAGGCTGGGCCATGCCCAAATCTGGCAGCATTTCCCTGGGTGGGGACTCATCTGCAAATTCCCTGTGGAGCTTGGCTTTGAGGAAGGTGCCAGAATCAAAGTCCAGCATCTTCAGCCTCCAGTGGCCAGGCTGAGGAAGAGCTTGTCATCCTTGATGTCATCCTGGCTGTCTCCAGCAGCAGCAGCAGCAGCAGCAGCAGCAGCAGCAGCAGCAGCAGCAGCAGCAGCAGCATCCCCACCCGGTACAGCTTCTCCAGGGGCACCTGCTCCTTCCCTGGGGGGAGACCAGGCTGTCAGGGTCTGCCCAGGGCCCCAGCTGTCAGGGAACCAGCACAAGCAAAACCAGCTTGGATGGCGGCCACCAGTGCTGGGCAGAGCAGCTCAGCTCCAGCACAAGGGCTGCGTGTGCCCATCCCATGACCCCCATGCAGTGACACAGGCAGCACAAAAAGGTCTGGGTTCCTCTGCTTCTGATTGCCAAGGCATGTGTGGAGCTGCAACTTACCAGGGCCCTGCATGAAAGTGTGCCTGTGGCTCTTTCCCTTCTTCTAGGCAGAGGAATATCCTGCACCCAAGGATCAGAGAACAGGTCTTCTAATGTGGGTCTGTCCAAGGAGTTCACGGATAAACACCACCTGATCAGATCTTTGCACTCTGGGCAGAGAAAGCAGAAACTGCCGGTCAGCCAGAGAAGGCTCCTGTTGGCTTTGCCCCACTATTGCCATGCCCAGGCCTTGCTGGATGCGCTCAGGGCTGGGCCTAAACTTTCCCATCAATTCCCTGTTTTGGAGGAGAGCAGGACATGTGCCACCTCCTCAGCAGCTGCCAGAGCGGGATGCTCACGAGCCCGCTGCTGGCTCCCAGCACTGGGATTCCCCCCATGCCCAGAGAAGAGGATCCACCTTGAGAGAGCCCTTGTGGCAGCGGGAGCTGGCCCCAGCTGAGGTTCCGGCCCCTCCTGAAAGGGTGCTCCCCGCAGACCATCTGGTGCAGCAGGATGCCCAGGGACCAGATCGTTGCTGCCTCGCCATGGTACCAGCCAAAGTCATTCCATTCCGGGGGGCTGTAGGACGGTGTTCCTATGGAATACAGATGGAGTTCAGTGGGGGAATGCTGCTGGTCCCAGAGCCTGGCCCCAGCAACCCTGGATGTGTGGGGGCTGCATCAGTGGCACACGGGGTGACCACTGCCCTCTCGCCAGCACCTGGGACTTGTGCACAAACTTAGGCTTGGAAAAGAAGCCACGGGTGTCGGAAGAGGGCAGAGGAAGCCCTGGCTAAGCCTGACCATGACAAGCAAAGGAAAAACCCTCTCTGTGCTGGGGAAAACATGCCCTTATCCTCCCTGCCTGCATTGCCCCAAAAATATTAGGAAGCCAAGGCAAACAGGGAGAGTGGAGCAGTGCAAGCCCTTCCTCTCGCCTGCACATCAAACTGGCTGGGGCACAGGTTCCACCCCCCTCTCTGCTACCCCCATCCACGGGGGTTTTGGTCAGGCTGGCTGCCCCAGCCCAGCCCCAGTCCTGGGCAGAGTGGCTGGCAAAGGCTGCCAGCAGGGCTGGAAGATGGCTCCCCACCCAGCCCCGCTCTAAAGCAACTCAGCTGAAGACTCAGTCCCCTGACTGGCAGCAAAAGGGAGAATCCCCGCTGCCACAGCCAGCTTGGGCTGGGAGATGTTGGGCCATGAGATCCCGGGACCAGGAGTACACCCTTACGTGGGCTCACCTGCAAAGTGGGTGTAGGCTGTCTCTTGCAGGTAGGTGCCACAGCCAAAGTCGATCAGTTTGGCCTGCCCGGTGGCCAGGTCAAGCACGATGTTCTCTGGTTTGATGTCCCTGTGCAGGACCCCGCAGCTGGTGCAGTGCCGCACGGCCTCCAGCACCTGGCGGAACAGCGCCCGCGCCACCTCCTCGGGCAGGAACCGCCGTGCCTCAATGAAACGTTGCAGGTCCTGACACCGCTCTGGCCGCTCCATCACCATAACGATGTGGTTGGGCAGCTCGAACCACTCCAGCAGCTGCACCACACCAGGGAAGCCAGTGGACACCTTGGCCTGCAGCACGATCTCCAGCGGGTCCCTGCTGCCGTCGGGCTGCGGGAGGAGCACGATGCCCTCAGTGGGGCCGATGCCGTGCCAGGCCTGGGGAAGCCCTGAGCCAGCCCGGGATGCTCTGCGCCCTGCGCTGCGCCCACGCCCGCTCCCCCTCGAGGCGTCCTGGCGGCTTCCACCGTGCCGGGCCTCGGCTCATCCCCGCCCGGCAGCCCCGGCTGCTGCCGCTGGCCCCGCTCACTCACCAGCTCGCCCCAGTGCCGGACGCGGTTCCGTGGCACCCTTTTGATGGCCACCTGCAAGCCAAGGGCAGCAGCGGGCTCAGCTCGCCGCCCGCCCTGCCCAGCCCCATCCTCCTCCTCCTCCGCCCCCTCCTCCTGCGCCCGCCGCCGGCCCCGCCGCTCACCGGGGCGCCGTCCGAGAGCCGCGTGGCCGCGAAGACGCTGCTGAATCCTCCGCGCCCCAGCAGCGAACCCACTCGGTACCGCTCCTGCAGGGCCTCGTGCGCCTTCCCTGCGGGCGGGACGCGGCTGTCAGCGCTCGGCCCGGGGCCAGCAACGGCCCCCGAGCGCCCCTCAGCCACCCCGGACCAGCCATGCCCAGGCCTTCGCTCCTCGCAACGCGGCACGGGAGGCTCGGGGCCGGCGGCCGCGCTGCCGAGCGGCGGAGCTCGGGCTGGGGAAGCCGCAGCGGAGGCGGCGGCAGCGGCCGCGCCGCCTGTGTCCTCCGCGGGCCCCGGGAGGAGCCGGGGCCGGGGCCGGGCTCGGGACTGGAGCCTGCCTCGGGGCCGCGGCCAGGCTTGGGCCAGGCAGAGGCAAAGGGCGGCGATGCCGCCCCCGCACCAGGCACTGATGCCCGCCCAGCAGCGCCACCGCCAGTACGGCCAGGGCCGGGCGGAGGCGAGACCGCGGCGGGACGGGCGGGGCCCGGCATGGCCCGGCCTGGCAGGGGGAGAGGGAGGCGGGGAGAGGAGAGGGAGGCGGGGAGAGGAGAGGGAGGCGGGGAGAGGAGAGGGACGCCGGGCAAGGGACCCCGAGAGAAGGGTACCTGACAGCGGGAAAGGGAGACGCAGAGAAAGAAAGAAAGAGAGAAAGACCAAGAAAGAGAGAAAGAGAAAGATCGTTATAGAGTTATATATGCTTATGCTGCTTCTGCCGCCGCTGCCGCCGCTGCAACTGAAGCACCGGGGCCGTTCGTCCCCGTGTCCGTTCCCTGCTCGCCCCACGAGCCCCACGTTCGAGCCCCGCGCGCCCCGGGCACAGCCCCTGAGTCTGTCCAAACACGGGAACTTTGCAGCGGTGAGCCCAGGTGCAGAGCCCTGACTCCTGCACACTGGCACAGCAATCCCCTCGCTTGCTGCTCTGCATTGGCCTTGCTGAGGGGCAAACACTGTCGGGACACCTTCCCTTGGGGTAGGATTCCTACCTGAGCTCAGCACTGCACTTACATCTCCAGTGTTGCCTTCCAGTAACAACAGGGGAAGGAAAACTCTCTGTACCTCATGGTATTTTAGAGTGTCTAAAAATCACTAAGTCACCGATCTTAGAGGTGCAGTGCATCTAGAACTATTGGGATGGAGTAGTCCAACATGGAAAAGGGGAGCATAGAAATAAATAGAGAAAAACATCTTGGATTGTTTCTTTCATTTTCATTTCCCTTCTGGAAAGCTGTTTCAGTTTTCCAGGAATCTTCTCCTGTCTGCTCTTGCCAAGAATCTCTCCTGGAGAACAAGGTCAAGCTTCTGTCCCAAGATTTGCCACCAGGAAATTATGCCACTGGTGAAGTTTCCATTGTGACTGTTTTGCTGGTTTAGGGCAAAGTTTGGGAGGAAACCTCCAAAAGGGGTCAGTCTAGAAACCAAGTTCAAGTGGCCCCTCCCCCTGCTAGTTCAGGAAAAGACTTCCCTCGGGAAAAGTTAATAAAACCCCAGTTTATTTATCAAGTAAAGTATTCCCAAGCATGAAAAATGAATAATATTAAATAAAACCTCTGACAGTGCTGAAGAGATGGCAAATTCAGAAAGTCCTTTTTGTGGGTTGTAGTTGGCTCACTCGGTCTCTTCTAAGTCCCTCTGGTGCTGGAATGCAGCGTCCCAGAGCTCGGTGGGCCACAGGTGTGAGCTGCAGGTGTTTTTCTGGTTTTTCAGTCCAGAGCAGGTTTAAACAGTTCCAAGAAAAAGGAAAGTCCCAGTCCCAGGAACTTGTCTGCCTAAGCTAGCTAAAAACCAAATTGCTGGACCTGGGCTGTGAAGGCACTGGGAAATTTCCAAATCTGGGCACTGGCGCTGCCAGAAAACACCAGATCTGGATGGTGCTGGAGCCAGAACCTGCAAATTTCCAACTCTTGGCTTTCTGTGCCAGCAAATCACTGGACTTGGGCTGTGCTGGCACCAGGAAGTTTTCAGATCTGGGCACTGGCGCTGCCAGCAAACACCAGATCTGGGTGGTGTCATTGGCAGCGACAGAAATCGGTGGGTTTTGGGCTCTGCTGGCACCGGGAAATTTCCAAATCTGGGTTCTGGTGCAGCAAACACAAGATGTGGGCGGTGCCAGAGCCAGTAGCAGAAAGTTGCCGGGTTTTGGATTTCTGTGCCAGCAAATTGCTGCACTTGGGCTGTGTCAGAATAGGGAAATTTCCAGATCTGGGCACTGGCGGTGCCAGCAAACACCAGTGAAACCTTCTGGTCCTCGTCTGGACCATTGGCCAGTGGTTTCCCTGAGAACCAGCTCTGGCCACTTTACAGACAGAGACTGCTTCCATCTGGTGCTCTGGAAACAGAACTTTAATGAAGGCAAACACAACAAACAGGACGGCGTGCACAGTACACAGAACAAAGCAGAAAAAAGCCTGGGTCCAGGGTCTAGCAGGGATATTTATACTTTTATATATGGGGAGGGGTTAAGGTGGGATCTGAGGGAAGGATCCAAGAGGAAGGAAGGATTAAGAATATTACAGTTTTTGCAGTATAAAGTAACCAATGGTAGCAAAGAGAACTCAGAACTTTCTAGTAACAATCTGCATAACTGAACAAGAGGATTATGGGCGGGAGCTCCTGCTGACCCCAACTAAAGAGGGTTTTCCCACGGCCTTAAGCCGAGGTCTCCCTCTTGTTTTAAACCAACCCCAGCACACCGGATCTGGGCAGTGCTGGGTTGTGGCTTTCTTTGCCAGAAAATTGCTGCATTTGAGTTGTGGTGGCACAGGGAAATTGCCAGATCTGGGCACTGGCGGTGCCAGCTAACCGCAGATCTGGGTGGTGCCGGTGCTATCACCAGAAAATTGCCGGGTTTTGTCTTTCTGTGCCAGCAAACTGCTGGACTTGGGCTGTGCTGCCACTGGGAAACTGCTGGATCTGAGCACTGGCAGTGCCAGCAAACACCAGGTCTGGGTGGGGCCAGCACCAGGTATTTACAAGGTTTTGGCTTTCTTTGCCAGAAAATTACTCGACTGGGGCTGTGCCGGCACCAGGAAATTCCCGCATCTGGGCACTGGTGGTGCCAGCAAACACCGGATCTTAGCATTGCCAATGACGGTAGCAGGGAATTGCCAGATTTTGGCTTTCTTTGCCAGAAAATTGCTGGACTTGGCTCTGCCAGAACAGGGAAATATCCAGATCTGAGCACTGGCAGTGGCAGCAAACACCAGGTCTGGGCACCTGTATTGGCATCAGGAAATTGCCAGATTTTGGCTTTCTGTGCCAGCAAATTGCTGGACTTGGGCTGTGCCAGCCCTGGGAAATTTCCAGATCTGGGCACTTGCGCAGCAAACACCAGGTCTGGGTGGTGTGTTGTAGTTGTTTTTATACTTTGTAATATTTTGTAATAGTTTTGTTTTTGAATACCTGTATTTTTCCCAAATGGTTCATCCCAGATGGTACCCCCCTCCCTTTACCTGTGTAATCCCTTTCCCTTGCTGAGATCATCCCCAAACCCCCACCCTGGCTCTCTGTCAATCACTCAGCATCCCATCCCCTCCATCCAGAAGCTTTGGTCCAGGATGTCGAGTGATCAGCCAGAGGCCAGGGGTCAGCCCCCCAAGCCTTGCCCCATACGCTGTCCTAAATGTCCATCCCCCAGTACCCATCCCTTAGGGTCACTTCTTGGTTAGTCAAATGTTATCTACTTTGGGTTTCCACCTCCCTTTAAATGTAACCTTGGCACATCTCCCGGGCTCTCGGCAGGAGGCCCCTGAGGTGTAGGGGCTCCTTTGGGACTCTTAGAATAAAACCTTGGATTAACCCCTGCTAAGAGTCGGCCCTTTATCTTCTACCGATGTCTCTGGTGTCTCTTGTGCTGCACAGGCGACCAGCCCAGGTGCCCTCAGTACCCTCGGGGCACAGAGAGTGTCTCCCCGCTGTCGGCCGTGTCGGGGCTGCCCCCGGTGTCTGCCGACTCGGGACTGGCCCAGGGTTCCTGAGAGGCTCCCAGAGGGACAGAGACAGCGCCCATATAGGTAAACTGAATCGCCCTGGGATTTTGGAGGTAATTACAAATTGGCCCAAAGGTGAAAATTTTGGTGTCACAGATGAAGAGCAAGAACCAGTGACACGGGCTGAAGAGGCTCCTTTATATAACCAACTGCCCCCAGAGGAAACACGCTACGCTTTTTTCACTGACAGTTCCTGTCGCATCTTAGGGATGAACCGGAAGTGGAAAGCAGCCGTATGGAGCCCCACAGGACAGGTCGCAGAGGCCACTCAAGGTGAAGGTGGATCAAGCCAACTTGCAGATCTCAAAGCCATTCAGCTGACCCTGGACATTGTAGAAATAGAGAAGTGGCCGAAGCTCTACCTCTACACTGATTCATGGGTGGTAGCCAATGCTCTGTGGGGATGGCTGGAGAGGTGGAATGAGTCCAACTGGCTGCGTAGAGGAAAACCAATTTGGGCTGCTGAAGAGTGGAAAGATATTGCTACCAGGGTAGGGAGGCTACCTGTGAAGGTCCACCATGTAGATGCCCATGTCCCCAAGAGTTGGGCTAATGAGGAGCACCAAAACAATGAGCAGGTAGACCAGGCAGCAAGGATAGGGGTGTCAAAGATAGACCTAGATTGACAACAGAAGGGAGAGTTATTCCTAGCTCGATGGGCCCATGATGCCTCAGGCCATCAGGGCAGAGATGCCACCTGTAAGTGGGCACGAGCCCCAGGGGTGGATTTAACCATGGACGGTATTTCACAGGTTATCCATGACTGTGAGACGTGTGCTGCCATCAAGCAGGCCAAGCGAGTGAAGCCCCTGTGGTACAGTGGGCGATGGTCCAAGTGCAAGTATGGGCAGGCCTGGCAGATTGACTGCATCCCACTGCCCCAGACACGCCAGGGCAAGCGCTACGTGCTGACCATGGTGGAAGCCACCACTGGATGGTTGGAAACCCACCCTGTGTCTCATGCTACTGCCCGGAACACCATCCTGGGCCTGGAAAAGCAAATCCTGTGGAGACATGGTACCCCTGAGAGGCTTGAGTCAGACAATGGGACTCATTTCAAGAACAGCCTCATCAACACCTGGGCCAGGGAACATGGCATTGAGTGGGTGTACCATATCCCCTACCATGCACCAGCTGCAGGCAAAGTGGAGAGGTACAATGGACTACTAAAAACCCAGTTAAAAGCTTTGGGTGGGGGATCTTTCAAAACCTGGGAGCAGCATTTAGCAAAGGCCACCTGGTTAGTTAACACCCGAGGTTCCACCAACCGAGCAGGTCCTGCCCAGTCTGAGTCCCTGAATGTAACAGATGGAGATAAAGTCCCAGTGGTGCATGTCAGAGGTTTGTTAGGGAAGACTGTGTGGGTCAATTCTGCCTCGAGAACAGACAAACCCTTTCGTGGGGTTGTCTTTGCTCAGGGACCAGGTTGCACATGGTGGATAATGCAAAGAGATGGAACAACACGATGTGTACCTCAGGGAGATCTGATTGTTGGGTGAGACCTATGTGTAAATATCACTGTTTGCTGAACGCGATTACCATTGTCTGTGTATAGCTGTATATTGGATGTATAATGTATGTGTTTGTAGAGTTAGAATTTAAATTAGTTTTAGTAGTAAGCAGACAATATGGGGATAAGGGGTGGAATGTCCTGGGTTGACTATATGATGCTTTTATCCCCAGTCGTGTGTACCAAGGGATGCACTGAATTTTGTGTGCAAAAATGCGGTGCTTGAAAGAGAAGATGGGTGTCTGCATGCTGAGGGCAGCACTTGTATTTTTGAAATGAGCCCAGTTACCCATGCTCTATCACAGGTGTGTTATGTGGGAAGGGGCTGTGCCTGTGTGAGATCTGCTTGCACAACTATTCCAATAGAGTCTTTTAATTAAACTACTAATGGTACTAACTTCTCTATTTGTAATTTCACAACCAAAAGTGGATGTGACTTCAGCTGCACCACACAAGAACTTCTCTAGAGATGCTGCAGAATGCACATGATGGGTATCAGCACGCTCCCAAATTCCAAACTGGATGGGACGCTAATGTTCTAAAGCAAATGCCATACCAGCCTAATATAGAATGGCTAGTGGCAGGAGTCCAAAATGCATCTCACAGAGCCTGATGGACACTCAAATCCGGTATCAAAGTTGTTACCAAAATCATCACCAAAAAAGAGAAAGAAAGAGAACATCATGAGTCAGATGGCTTCTTGTGATGGACAAATCTGGAACCACCAACAGCTCCTCAGATTTTTAGCTTCCTCAGCAAACCAGTTCTAATTTTTAAAAAATTAACCCTCATCTTAACCATCATAAACCTATGGATGTGGTAGAAAATTAAAACAGCAGCAGAACAGTACATATGTACTGTGGACTGTCCAGAGGATCTTGCAAAAGAATTTGCATCAGGATAAAGAGAAGGGGAGAATGAAACAAGGCCTTTGTTTGACATAAGCACAAGCAATTCACATAAGTAAACAAGTACTTAGCACAGACCTACATAGGCACTTAGCACCAGTTAGCATAAGAAAAACCTGGCAGGCCTAACTTGACAGGAGAGGGACTTGACAAAAAGCTTTAGACACATTCTACCAGAAGAACTAAGGGCAAGTGTAAAATGAGCCCTGTGCAGGGAAGCCATGAGGAAGAAGTGCTGCTTTAGGGCATGGAGGCCACTCCTGGCCAGCGCCTGGACATTAGCTTCAAGTACAGGAACTGACAGAATGTATTTCTAACCCCTGCCTATGAAATCACCTCAGCAGAGTCAAGATGGATGGTATTTTTGAGATACATTTCTGACATCATCCCACTGAAATTTACATGTGGCAGAGCAGCATTTTAGTGGCTGCAGACCCCTGCCCTCCTGCCAGCTCAATAAAAGGGCTTTTGGCGGACAATGCATTTGTCTGCTGATTTCTTTGAATGAGGGAGGCCCCTCAGGACTGCTGTTGGCCATCCCCTGTGTGTGGCCATCCCCTGTGTGGGTCTGCAAAAGCTTCAAATCAGGTGCCTCAGCTTCCAGGGCCTCTCTTGGCCAGCATCCTGACGTGGGTGCAGGGCTGCTGCCAGGCACTGCTGGGACCCAGCGGGACAGGACCGGCTGTCTCGTGTCCACAGAGCAGCCCTGACACAGCCAGGGCCATCCCGAAAGCAGACAAACGCTCCCGGCTCAGCAGAGAGGAGCAAGGAGCACTGGGCTGCGCTCAGGGTATCTCAGCATGGGGCTCCAGTGGGAAGGGCAGGCAGGCCTCCCACATTCAGGGCATCTCCTGCATCAAAAGGACGGGCATTTTGTCCTTTTCATCCCTCCACCCCAGACCAGGCCTGACATCTCCTCCTCTGGAGTGGAGTTTTCCAGTTACAAGGTCATCTCACGCTTGGCCAGTGCGTGAGATGAGGCTGCAGTAACCTGTGATACCACCTCCATGCCAACCACAGCTCCATTGTGTATTGTTCCTCTTTCACAGGTTCACTTCCCATTGATTGACCAGTCCATTGTTTCCCTTAAGGGTTAAATTCCCACCAGTTAAACCATAAGGTTTCCTTCATTCTCTGCTCTGCATTCTCTTGTTGATGAGCACAACAGGGGACCAAATATGGCAGGGCCTTAGACACAACTTTGGTCCCTGACACACACAGGCTTCTTGTCCCACTGCTGGCCTTCAGTGTGCTCAGCGAGATGTGGAACTGCACGGTGCTGTGGAACTGCACCTTCAGCACAGGGACCTTTCCAGCCTGACCTGCCCTTGTTCCTCTGGGTCCATGCACAAAACACGGCGTGGCAGAGAATGGCAGCAGGGGCCTGTGTGTCCCAGGGTCCCGGATTTGCTTCAGCTCCACAGAGATGCAGGCAAAGTGAAGAAGCCAAACTGTTTATTAATGAAAAGCAAAAAAAGGGATGATATGGGAGGGGAAAAGGGAATGGGCAGGCAGGGTCTGAGGGCTTGAGAAATGGAGCTATCAAAAGGAAGAGTTGAAGGAAAACATAGGAATAGGCATGGTCTGAGGGCTGGTGAGATGACGCTGTCAAAAGGGAGGGAGGGTGGAGGGAGAAAAGTGGATGGACAGTGTCTGAGGGCTGGAGGGAGGGAGCTATCTACAGGCAGGGAGAGGGCTGAAGCCACGCGAGCTTCCCACAGGCTCAGCCGTACCAATCATCAACTATGTCTAGAGCTCCAGGGGCAATGGGAGATGCTGTCCTCTTCAGTGTCTCCTGGTGCTGTTCTTGGGACACTGGCTCACTGGATCCAGAAAAGGACCCTATTTCTTCAGGTCTTAGGCCTAATTTATCATGACTTTCAATGTTAGAGCAGGATGGGCTGGCATTGTTCTTTGGGGATTCTAGGCCTGGAAGAGAGAGAAAGAGAGCCATGGTCAGAGCCTGGATCTGCAGTGACCTGAGGAAAGCATCCAGCCAGGGCCACCCCACCCAACTCTTGCCATGGCTGAGAGAGAGGTGTTGCCAACAGAATCAGCAGCAAGCTGCGGGCCAGGAATTCCGCCCGTGTCCCTGAAATCTCTGTGTGCTCTTCCCACGCCACCTCTTGTCAACACATTGAAGGAAGCCCACTGCAGCCGGGGCAGGGATTGCAGCTCCCTGCTCAGGCATTGCAGCTGGCCTGCCCAGGCCACTGCCCTCACTCACCCTGACTGAGATCCTGGAGCTCTTGCTGCTGCTGCCTCATCCTGGGAAACCCGGCCATCTCTGAGAACAAAGAATTCATCTTGGCCCCAGCGGCACAGCTCCCTGCCGGCAGCGCTGCCGGCGCTGTGGCCACACGGGCTGCTGGCCCGGCAGGGCTCAGCCCGGCCCTTGCCGCACGCTGCCGCCCCAGGGCACGGCTGCCAGAGGGAGGCAGCAGCAATGCCCAGGCCGGGCGGGGCTCCACGGCGCCGGGCCCGGCTGGCGCTGCCGGGGCAGCAGGCGGGACTGGGGCCGAGCTGCGGCGGGCTGGGCCGGGGAGGGAGCCCGGGCTCGTGGCTCACCCATGAACCTGATGGCCGCCTCTCGCAGGGGCTCCTGTGGGCTCCGCAGGTACCACAGGGCCCGGCGCAGGTGCTCGGCCGCTCTGCTCCTGTGCTCTGCCAGCTGCAGAGAGCGGCAGGAGGGAAGGGTTGGCGCGGGCTCAGCCCCTGGGCCGGGCGCTGCCTGCGCCCCGCCCCGGCCTCCCCTGGCCGCACAGGCCTGAGGCGCGGCCAGCAGCCGCTGGCCAAGGGCTCCCGAGGGCAGGGGGCAGAGGGCCGGCTGCTGCCCGGGGAGCCGCGGTGCCGGCCCGCAGCCCCGCCGAGCCGGGACTCCATGGGCACCCGGCTGGGGCCCACGGGAGCCTGGAGCAGAGCCCGCGCGGCCTCTGACTGCAGCAGTGGGCAGGGACACAGCTGCCCGGCCCCGCACCTGAGCACTGCCCTCAGGGGCCTTCTCCAGCCTGAGGCTGGGGCTTGCAGGCCCTCCTTACCAGGCACTCATCGACCCTCAACGGTGGCTGCTTCTTCAACAGCTGTACAAGCTTCCTCCTCTTCAGGAACTCGGCCA